GGTCTCTGCCGTCATGGGGCCCAAGAGCTCGGAGCCCCCATTTGAGGCGAGGGGTAATGCTGCCGATGCAGCGCCAGGGGGTCATGAGACTCACAGGGTTCACAGGGCTCATGGGGTTCGTTGGAGTCATGGGACCGTTTGTGCACATCAGGCACGGGGCTCATAATTCTGAGTGGCGTTTACAGAGGTCATGGGGGTCATAGGAGGCTCATGGTGCTGATAAGGGTCTTGGGGCTCCTTGGAGTCATCAGCTCTTGGGGGCCGTTGGGCTCATAGAGCTCGCCAACGTGTGCATGCCGCCGCACCGTCCATGGCGGCACACCCGTGATCTGGATTATGAGTTGGGGGGGCCCTTCGAGGTCTCGCGGCGTGTGGGGGTGAGAGCTCTGGAGGTGTTAGGGTTCCCTCCCAGGCCTCGCAGGGCTCATGGGGCACCATGAGGCACCATAGTGGTCGTAGGGCTTGTGGGGGCAAGAGGCCTCATATGGCTGATAGGGGTATGGCCTCTCGGGGCTCTTGTGGGTCTCCTTTTGAGGCTCTTTTGGGCTGTGTGGCGGCCCTCTTGGGCCGTCCCGGGACCCTCTTGGGCCGTCCTGGGGGGCTTGGGCCGTTTTGGGCCCTCTTGGTTCTTCTTGGGGGCCTCCTGCGGCCTTCTTGGGGCTCTCTGGGAAGTCTTTTGGTGCTCTTTGGGGCCGTCTTGGGGCTCTCTTGGGTCGTTTTGGAGCCCTTTTGGGATGTCTTGGGGCTCCCTTGGGGACTTCTTGGGCTGGGGGCCTATTGGGCCGTCTTGGACGCGGTGAAGGCCAAAGAAGCATATGTGCTAAAAATACACGTTTTCCGAAGGGAATGGGACGATTTTGACCTCTTGGGGGTCTTCTTTGGGGCCTCGTGGGGCGTCTTGAGAGCATCTTGGGCCGTCTTCAAGCCACCTTGAGGCCTCTTTGAGCGCTCATGAGCCGTTCTGGAGCGGTCTTGGTCCGCCTTGGGGCTTTGCGGGGCCGTCCGGGGATGGCCGGGAGAGGCCCCCGAAACCGAAATTAGAATTTGACGTCGGTGGGAGCGCCCAGGGCCGAATTTGTGTACGGGGGGGTCAGGCGGGGTTCCGCCTGACCCCCCCGTACACACATATACATACACACATATACATACACACATATACATATACACATATACATATACATATACATATACATATACATATACATATACATATACAAATACATATGCATATACATATACATATACATATACATATATATACATATACATATATTCATGTATACATGTAAACATGTACGTTTCCATAGACAGATACATTCACACGTACATACACACGACACCCGCCTCCGAAGGTGCCAAGCTCGACTTCTGAGAGTGACGCCGCCCGCCGCAGCCGCAGCGGGGAGGCCAGGCGTGCAGCTGCCGAATCATGCCCTACGCCGTCGCCACAGCCACGTGAAAAGGGGTGCTGACGCTGCTCCTGCTGCTGGCGACGACCCTATGCAGGGTTCTGGCGACCCGTGGCGCGTCCGTCCAGCTGCTGCTAGCGATGAGCCCATCAGACGAGGCGAGCTTGACAACATCGTCGCGGCGCTCAAGCTGGACATCACTGTCTCAGCTGATAGCACGGTAAGGAACATGGCGAACAGTCTCAACGAGACTACGGCCAAGGCAATGCGCGCCTTTGCCAAGCAGCAAGATATCGTCAATTAAGAGGTGGACCTCTACCTTCGCGAGCTGGACGGCCGACAGCCTGTGGTGGCGCGCGAGCAGGAGCAGATGCGATTTCGGATCTCGGCGCTGCTGCAGGCTCTGCTGGCGAGCGAGCAGCAGACCCCGAAGCTTGACATGGTCGATGCGGCGAGCTTCCCCGAAGGAGGTCGACCGCAGGATGTGCGCTGCCCACATTAAGGAGCTCGTCACACTGGAGGCGGTGCAGGCGTCGCTGGCGGAGTGGCTCACGGGGGCCGAGTTCAGCAGTGAGCACTTCGAGATCAAGGGCGAAAGCCCTGGTCGACGCTTCCAGGTTTGCCTCAAGGGTGCCGCTGGCCTCGCGGCGAAAAAGGTGGTGCATGCTGAGAAACATCTTAAGTCGCCATGCGTGCGCGTCATCCTGGCGGGAGTGGAACCATAGGCTGGTTATTGATGTCGGGCTTGATTGGGACGCTGTCTGTCAAGACAACCTTCGAGTTCTCTTCGGCGACGCAGACAGAATGCAGTGGTTTATTTATCGAGAGAATCGCGCGCTGGCGTCACACGTCGTCGGCACATGCTGCTATCTCCTTCGGAACGTGGAATGCTCGGGCCCTTTTGCATCATGACACGTCGGCACATGGAGTGAGAGAACACAAGCTAAATTCTAGACGCTTCGCGTAACCCCACCAGCCCATCCAGAAACAATGCCCAGAGGAATTGCCTCGATCAGGGTAGTGGGCAGCACGCAGAGAAAGGGTTGCCCAGTGGAGGCCTCTTGGAGCGGCTTGGGGGCCTCTTGCCGATCCTGGACGCCTCTTAGAGCGTCTTGGGTGCCTCGGAGAGCCTATTGAGGCCTCTTGGGGGTCTTTTGGGAGCCTCTTGGAGGCCTCTTGGGTGCCTGTTGGGGCCTCCTGGGGCCTCCTGGGCGCCTCTTGGGGCCCTCTTGAAGCGCTCTTGGGAGACTTTGGACCGCTTTTGGAGCCCTCCTGGGCCAACTTGGAGCCATATTGAGGCCTCGGATGGCCATCGGAAGCGAAAAGGCGAGAAAACCAAAAACACTGATTTCCCTACGGTTTTGGAAGGATTTGGTCCTCTTCAGGGGCTCCTGGGGGAGCTCTTTGGCCACTTGGAGCCGTCTTGGATCGGTCTTGGGGCCTCTTGGAGCATCGTGGGAGCCATCTTGAGACATCTTGGGGTATCTTGAGCCATCTTGGAGGTCATCTTGGGATCCCCGAGGCGCTCTTGGAGTCATCTCAAACAGTGCCCCCCCCAGGAGGCCAAAATGTGGCTAAAACCTTGGAAGAAGTTCTCGCCGAGGCCTCTTGGGATCAGAGTTGGTGCCAAGCTGCTTGAGCGCAAAGCAGCGGTGACTATGGAGGGCTCCTGCGCCATGGCTGCCGGGGCGTGCTCGAAGGCGCCCCCGTTCTGACTGCCTGCCACGAGGACCACGTCCATGGAAGCGTCTGGGTGGTCCTGGAGAGCGAAGCCGTCCTCGGTACTGCACGGGCCATGCTCCCAGGAGGCGCAGTGCGTGGCCCACCGTGCTGCTCTCCGCGGCAGGGGCCACACGTGTGAAGGGCGCCTCCTGCGACGCGCACGCCGCACTCGCTGGGAGCATGCGCTGGCCCCGCTGGACGGCGGCAGCATGGTATTCCGCCGTCGCAAGAGCGGTAGCAACCACGGCTTTTTTTGGGAGCTGGCGCGAGGTTGGCAGCCAGCGCAATGGCCCCCGACGACGGCCATTGCTGTGGATGGATATGGAAGTGTGGGCAACGACATGGGGGGACGATCAGACTCTGGGCGAATGCCCGACGTCACTCGAGTAGATTCCTCTTCCTCCTCCTTCTCGGTCTCCACTTCTCGCCCGTCCTCTCCGTCTTGTCCTCCTCGTTTTCCATCTCGCCATCCCTCCTCCTCCTCCAGTTCCTCGTCCTCTTCATCCTCGTATTTCCCACCCATCGTCCTCTCAGTACTTCTGATCCTCCTCCTCCTGTGCTCTCATGTCCTCCTTGTCCTCCTTCTCCTCAGAGCATTCCTTCATATCGCTGCCCCACTGCGTGGCCCGCGGACCGGCGGGCACGCCGAAGATTATGAATAATTATATATATACACAAATATTGAAATATTAATATTTGTAGCCAAACTGATTGAAGATGGAGGGGAGCCAAAATGATTGAAGATGGAGGGGAGCCAGCATGATTGAGGATGGAGGGGAGCCAGCATGATTGAGGATGGAGGGTGATGGGGAGAAAGAGAGAGAGAGAGAGAGAGAGAGAAAGAAAGAAAGAAACAAAAAAAAAAAGAGAGCGGGGGACAAACAGCCGCAGGAATTGCCCTCAGCGATTGCTTCAGAAGCGTAGTTCATCATAGCTCCGATTTCGGATGAGTGGGCGAGCCCTCAGCAGAATCGAACCATGTCAAGGAAACATGTCAAAGGCATATTGGGACGCATGTGTATCCAGCCCTCGTTGAAGCCGTGGTGGACGGCTGTGTATGCAGTTCTCGTCGAAGGCGTCGTGGGGCCATAATTGGACTCCTGGAGGGCCTCGTCGACGTCGTATTGGAGGGTGTCTTGGGATGCCCTCTTTGGATCTCTTTGGGGCTTCTTGGAAGCTTTCGGGGCCTCTTGAGGGCCGTCGGGGCGCCTTGTTGGGCACGTCTGGAGGCCTCTTGGGGAGGCCTTGGAGGCCTCTTGGCACCTCTGGGGGCCATCTTGGGACAGGAGGCTTGAAAGGTCTGGGGCCTCTTGCGGAGGCCTTGGAGGCCTCAGGGAAGCTCCAGGGGCCATCTTGGGACAGAAGGCTCGAAGTGTCGATTCGTGCCCCCCCTTCTAGGGCCGTTTGAGGGGTCTTTGGGGCAGTCTGGGTGCCCTCTTGGGCCGTGTTTGGACTATGTTGGGGGCCTCCTGGGCCGTCCGAGCGATCCTTGGAGCTTCTTGGACCGGCTTATAGCGCAGGGATTCGGAAGAAGCGACAACACTGCAATGCATCAACAACCCATGGAAATCGTACAGTTTTTTTCACCAGAGGCTCCCTTGGAGACTCCCTTGGGGCCCTCTTGGCCACTCCGGGGGCTGTCTTGAGGCCATATTGCGGGCGTCTTCGGCCGTCCAGGACGCTATTGGGACCCGAGAAGTGATTGTTCGTGCGTTTAGGCCCTTCTGGGCAACGTCTTGAAGCACTCCCGGGCCGTCAGGAGGGCCTTCCAGATCGTGCGGCGCGCGGCTAATAATTAACGTGTTTTTTTTTACCGGGGGTTTTGCTGATAAGAATATGGGGAAAGAACTAAATATATATGTATATGTA